GCAAACTGCAGAAACTACCAAATGTCTCAGCTACTGTCAACCTCCATTATTGCCGCTCAGACGGGAGATTTTGCGTCTGTCTCACAGAGGATAATGTACTCCCTGGGCCTGTCTAATTTATGCAGATGGAAAAAGAAGCCAGAGTTTGAATAAGGCCCCAAACAGAGCTGAGCTGGGCTTCTCTTGTCCCATCCGACATGCATTCATTAAATACCTACTGTGTGCAAAGCCCTGTGCAAGGCACTGGGTAAACAAAGACAAAAAAATGAAGGTCTCTGTGCTCACATTCCACTGGCTTTGTGGTTATTGTTATCATGTCTTTGAATCTGTGCTTGATGGAGAAGATATAGGGGAGAGAGCTATAGTAGTTTGCCCCCTTTCCAAGGCAGCAAGTGCTTGAGATCAAAGATCTATATCTGGAAGGCCTGAAGATACCATTTGAGGCCAGGTTACTCAACTGATGGAGAGAAATTGAGGCCCAGAGAAGGAGAATGGACTTGCTCAAGGTCACACAGCTAGTGAGTCCTTCTCACAAAGGTGATCCATGGAGCCAGGAGGATGGAGCAAGACCACCAGGAAGAGAGCAGGGTAGAGGACCATGCCTTGGAGAAAAAGTCAGATACTGGCATTGATTTGGGCTTCATCTCAGACCTTCTCAGTGAAGAAGCTGCAGATGGTTGTCAACATAAAGGAAGCATTACTGGAAAGTATTTCTAAGAGTAGAGAATGTTGGAACTGAAGGGGAACTTGGAGATCATCTAGGATTCTACATCCAGAGCTGGAAGGGGCCTCAGAGGCCAGCTAGGCCAAGGCCTTGAGAGAGGGATTGTCACTTGCCCAAGGTCATAAGCTCAGCAGTAAGCAGCAGAGGCAGGATTGGAACATAGCTCCTCTTTTCATTATACTATGCTGACCCTCTCCCTTGCACTATGCTAGTCCAATGTAAGGAAACTGAGGTCCAGAGAGGACTTAAGGACACATTGGTAATAAAAAGAATAACTGTCATTTATATAGTGCTTTGGAAGTTTGCAAAGCTCATTATTATCCCTACTTTACAGCATGGCATGGTGGGTAGGGACCTGGCCTTGGAGATAGGGAGACCTGAGTTTAAGTAGTGCCTCTGACACATATGGGCCTGGTGACTTTGAGCAAGCCACTTGTGCACTCTGACTTAGAAAAAACCACATATTAACATTATCTATGTTTTATGATATTTTTTAAATCGTGAGATATTGGGATATAGTGGAAGGAATGTTGCATTTTAAGTCAGGAAGGCCTGGATTCAAATTCCTTTCTTTGTTAGTAACATATCATTTAACGTCTCTAGGCTCAGGACTTCACCAGGGGCTGGATTTCATTGGTATGGGGAACTCCTAGAGAAGGAAACTCCCCCCTATGAATTCAGGTTAGCACCTTCTCTGCAACATATAGGCTTAAAGAGTTACTAAGAGCAGAGTTGTCGAACACACAGCTCCCTGGCTACATGAAGCCCACAGCATTCCAATTTGGCCAGAACTGGATTACAATGAACATTTAATGGGGAAATAGTGAACAAAATAAATAAAAATTGAGGCCCAGAGGGGTCACGTGACTTGGCCTAAGGTCACATAGGTAGTAAAAGACAGAGATAGGATTTGAACTCAGTACCTAGTTCCTAGATCTTGAGCTGGAAAGGCCCTAGGCAGTCATCTATTCCAGCCCCTCATTTTACAGAAAGGGAAACTGAGGCCCAGAGAGAGGTAAAGTGACTTGCTTAAGGCTACACATGGGCAATAAGCACCTGAGGTGAATTGGAATGAACCTAGGGCCTCTGACTCCAGACGGTGATTTCTGGAGGTCTCCAAGGTCACATTATCTCGGGGTTTCAATGAAAGGGTGGGTCTTAAGAGATACCTAGGAAGTCAGTCATTGTGCACCGGAGCAGGAAGTGGTGAGATCTGAGCTGAACCATAAGATCTAGCCCTGGATTTGATACTGCTGGATATTGCATATATATTGTTTGTGAATCAATTTCTCTGGTATGCCCTGATGGTGTGACCTTGAGCAAGTCCCTTCCTCTCCTTGGATTTCAGTTTCCTCCACTGTAAAATCAGGGCATTGGACTAGTTAGTTTGTCTCTGAGGACTCTTCCAGGTCTAGACCCTGTGATCCTATGTATGACCTTGGGTAAGTCACTTTCCCACCCTGGGCCTCGGTTTCCTCTTCTGTAAAATGAGGCGAGATGGTCTAGATGGCCTCCAAGGTCTCTTTCAGCTCAAGATTTATGATGGATCAGAAGACCACAGGATTATAGATTTAGAGCTGGAAGGGACAAAGGCAGCAAGTCTTCATATTACAGATGAAGCAATAGAAGCACTGAGAGGTCAAGTGAGTTGCTCAGGATCACACAGCTGGTAAGTACCTACGGTGGGATTTGAACTCAGTTCATCATGACCCTAAGTCCAGTGCTCTGGCCAGTCTCTGATACTTCTCTTTGTTAGGAACTTGAGTCACTTAGCCTTACTGCCTCCATTTTTCCAACTGTAAAATTGGAGGGGTTGGATTAGATGCCCCCTAAGATGCTATGAACCCAAGTGAGGGGAAAGGGAGCAGCCCCTTGGTTCCCTGCAGCCAAGTCTGTCCAAGTCACCTGCCCAAAGCAGAGGCCACAAGCAGAGCTTCTGAGCCCTCATTCAAGGCAATAGAAACTATTTTATGGCTCAATGGTTTTCAGATGATAATGAGTTTCCTATCAGTGGAAGTATCTAAAAGAAGGCTGGGAGGGCCACTTATTAAGGAATAATGTTATGGAGGGGATTCCTGTGAAGACAGAGGTTGGACTAAATCCACTCTGAGGCCTTATTACAGTTCTAAAATTCTGGGATTCATGAGTGCAGTTAATGAGCTAATAAGGGACAAATCAGCTTTGCTTTAGGGGAAAATCTCTGAGGAATGGGGTCTCATGGTCCTCTGTGGGGGGGGGTCTATTACTGTGAATAGATCCCATGATGGCATACTTAGGGCTCACACTTCCGCCAGACTAATGTTTCATATATACAGATGTGCATATGGCACTCCTCAGCTCAAACATCCTTAGTGGCTCCCTGTTGCCTCTTGAAGAATTCACGCTCCTGGCCTGACATTCAGGTCTCTCCAGTCCTTTGTGCCACCCAACCTTTCTAGCCTCTTTTCATCATTCTCTCTCTGCCCTCTCCATTCTATACAAAACTAAACTAATCTGCCCTCTGCACATGTGCTGTGCTGTCTCCAGCCTCCATGCTTTTGCTTATGCCATTCTCTCCACCAAGCGTGTCCTTCCTTCCTTGCTTTGCCCAGCAAATTCCTGCCCATCCTTTAAACTGAAGTGTCACCTTCTCCAGAAGCCTCCTGATTCCCCCAGTCAGTCCCCCTTGGACACCCTCTTAGCACCTTTTTCTGTCCCACTCCCAGGCATTTATCAAGCAACATTATACACGCTAGTGATCTATGCTGGTGCCTTGCCTGTCATGTGTGCACCCCATGTGGCCCATGCCCTACATCCTTTGCCAGAGCTGAGCACAGGGTTCTAGATGCAGCAGGGGCCTCCTCAGTGGTTGGTGACTGGCCAAGCTTTGGGTGAGCTTGGACAAACCAGGAGTATAACATTTGGTTACAGATCAGGCCCTTGGTTTCAGAGTTTCTCCATCCAGAGTATCTCAACACATTGTCTCAATAGCAATTGTGAAAACCTCCACAAAGCAGCATTCTGGCCATGCCTTAGCTCCTGTATCTCTCTCTACTACTTGCTAAGGGGCCACTCTAGGAAGACCTGGGGTGAATAGAGATGGGAGGCCACAGGCCTTGGTCCATGTCTCAACTTAGCTCTTAATCAGCTGCACAATCACAAGCTGTTTCTTGGGCTTGGCATGTCCTCCCTCTCCATCCTGGCCTGGGGAATTCTTACCCAGCCCAGATGCTACCACTTCCAGGAAGCCTTCCTTGATTCCTCTAGTTGGTAATGGTCTCTGACCCCCACCTCCACTCCCTATCAGAATTTATCAATCATTTTGTACTTAAGAATAACAGACAATATTGCATGTTATCTTTATATGAGTTTCATCACCCTACAAGAAGGGATCTGTGTCATCTAACAGAACCTCGCACAGATCTCTGCATACACAATGTGGGATCAAATGTTTGTGGAATTTTCAATAGGCATATCAGATCTGTGCCTGGTACGGAGAAAGTGCTTAGTAAATGCTTGTTAATGGATTGATTCTCAGAGCCTTAGTTTCCTCATCTGTCAAATGAGGACACTGAAATCTGTCTTCCCTACCAGGGAATTAGCCGCCCACTCCTCCTCCAAACAAACAAACATTCTTCTGGCCCAAGGCTCTCTCCACCTTGGACTGAATGAATTTTTTTTGGTACACATTTTAGATCAAATAATTAGTTAAGACAAATAATTTTTAGGGGGAAGAGCTCAGGTGTTTTCTTTTTTACTGCTATTACCAATGGTGCTCTCCCTCTTTACTGTTTGACTGTTCATGTAGCTTGGATGAAATTGGAGTTAATAACTCTCTTCCTTCTGGTGACAGGGAGGACCACCAGGCCTTACTCTCTGCTCAGCCATTGTATCCCAAGAGCCTCTAGGCCTTACCTTCTCCCCTGTGTCTACATCCTGCAGTCTCCTAGCACTGTCATCTGATCAACTTATATAACCTACATCATCAGGGATACAGATCCCTGGGCCTTTCCATCTGCCTCACTGATGCACCCTTAGGACTTTTGTGCCTTTCCATCTGTCCAACAGATGAACTTTTTTTTTTTAATGTGTTGTATCCCCCAATGGAATGTGAGCTCCTTGAGAGCTCTCTTGATCTTTTCTATTTGTATCTTGAGGCTTAGCACAGTAGTAAATGGCCCATGGTAAATACTTAATAAATACTTTTTCAGTCAGTCATTCATTATTCATTCATTCATTCTTTCATTAACTCATTCACCAGTTGAAAGAAGAAGGAACTGTGTATATCACAACTTACCTCTTTCAGTGTCATACAGGTACACAAACTTCTCCCACTTATAGTGGCTCAGCAGATTCAAGATGGCGCCCTTCAGTGCCGGCCGCATCTGGATGACAAACTGCACATCGGCATCAGTGGGGAAGCTGGGTGTGACAAAGGATGTATGCAGAGCCCCACAGAAGGAGGTCAGGGTGTTCATTGACATCTGGTCATAGAACCCGAAGATAGCATACACCCCTCTGGAGAACTGGGAGCAGACTGTAATGAAAGAAAGAGAGAAACCTTTCAATAACCTCATACTGATGGAGGGGGAAAAAGGCCATTTTTGGAGTCCTTTGACCTGAGTCAGAGTCCCAACTCTGACACCGAACTTATACCCTACAGTATGGCACTGAATCCCTATGAGCCTCAGTTCTGGCACCTTGCCTGTCATGGTATAGAGTGCTAGACTTGGAAGATCTGGGTTTGAATTCAGGCTCCAACACCAATAGCTGTGTGTGACCCTGGGCAAATCACTTTTCTTCTCTCCATCCCCTAATCAGTAACATGAGGTGAATACTACCCATTACTATCAGGGTGTATCCTTCTACCCTGAAAGGCTTTGTAAAGTACTGTACTCTCAAAATGACATTGTTTAGACCCTGAGTGTTGATGGGATTGGAAGGACAACATCAAATCACAGGCTTCAAAAGAAAAACAATAACCAAACAAAGCTTTTATAAAGTTCAGAATAAGGTAAGGACCTGCCTCATGCCCCAGACCTTTACCTGACCTCCTCCACACAAAAAGTATCAGAATATCCCCATCCTATGTCCTGTCCCCTCACACTGTTGGCCTTACTGGATGATGATGTGGCCTAGTGGGCTCATGAACCAAACCAGTATCTGCTAATGTGTTATCCCTCCTTCCAGGTAACAGAAGCATTTTAACTGCAGGAAAATGCATGACAATAGCTTGAAGGAACCTGACCTGGAGAAGGGAAGACTCAAGGAGGGCCATGATATCTGTGTTTGAGTGTTTCAAAGGCTGGCATATAGAAGAAGGAATAGATTTCTTTTGCTTGGCCCTATAGGGTAGAACTTGAAGCAATGGGTGGACATTTCAGAGAAGCAAGTGGAGGCTTCTGAACAATCAGTGCTGTCCCAAAGTGGGATGGGCTGCTTGGAAAGGTCATGGGTTCTCCTTCCTTGGTGGTCTTTGAGGAGACACTGGATGACCACTCACTGGATATGTTGGAAGGGAAATTTTATTTTATTATTATTTTTTTTTAGTGAGGCAATTGGGGTTAAGTGACTTGCTCAGAGTCACACAGCTAGTAAGTGTTATGTGTCTGAGGCTAGATTTGAACTCAGGTCCTCCTGACTTCAGGGCTAGTGCTCTATCCACTGTGCCACCTAGCTGCCCCTGGAAGGGAGTTTCTTGTTCAGGTATAGTTTAGACAAGGTGGCTATGGTGTCCCTTTTGGCTCTGAGATTCTTTGATTTATAGGGTCTTAGATCTAGAGCTAAGAGGGCCCTCAGAGGCCATCTAGGCCAACCTCCTCATTTTTACAGAGAAGGATATTCAGGCCCAGGGAGGGGAAAGGACTTGCTCAAGGTCACACAGTAATTATCAGAGGTAGGACTCAGGTCCTCTAATTCCTGAGTCTGAACTTTTCCCCTGTACAATGCTGTCTTCTTAGGCTCTCAACGAATGGTTCTTTTAATGGAAATCTGGGGCACTGAAACAGGTTTATTGGGGTTATTTGGGGCAGGGGCAGAGAGACACTTTGGGCACCCCTTCCCATCACAATTTGTTGGGCACTGCTTATCCAGCCCACATATGGAGCTGACCCTGATTTGGGAGCAACAGGTCCTGCTTTACCAGTGAGGTTAATGGGGGCCCAGGACTGACCAATGCTACCTCTTCCTTCCTAGGCCTAGGCTCCTCTGCTGCCTCCTAGCAGTGAGCAGTCCTGGCCTCTCCCTGATAACACCATAATTTAATTACCATCTTTGGGTTCATTTCCTGGCACACAGTTTTGCTTTCAGGAGCACACTGCCTCTTCACAGTCTAAATGGTTATTTCTGCAATTACATGGTATAGAGCTAAGCTGTGCCAAAGGAAATGCTGCTTATCAGCATCAGAGCCTGCTCAAAGGGAGCAGCGAGCAAATGTAGGCATTAACCCGGCAAAACATGGTGCTTCTTTGGGGTGGGGGGGAAGCATTGTTTTTCTCCATAAGCCACAGAATGTTGCATTTCAGGGTTGGGAGGGACCCCAGAGGTCATGCAGTCTGTCTTCTGAGCAGAAATTCCCATTACAATTTCTCCAGGTAGTCATCTAGCCTTGCTTGAAAACCTACAGAGACAGGGGGCTCACTGCCCTGTGAGACAGCCCATCCCTTTGTTGGACCATTTTCCTTCTTAGGAACTTGTTCCTCATGCAGAGTTGATTCCTTATAACTTCTGCCCTCTGGTCCGAGATCTACCCTCTGTGGTCAAGTAGAATAATCAGACTCTCTTCCTCCTGGAAGCTCTTCTGATACTTGAAGACATCTACCATCAGGGAGTATTGTAAAGATTTGGAGTAAGAGGACATGGGTTTTAATATTCAACAAGTATTTATTAAGTACCTACTATGTGCCAGGCTCAGCACTAGGCACTGGAGACATAAAGGCAATGAATTAAATAAGCTGTACTTACAGGGGCCTTACATTATAATGGGGGAGAGTCTTGACTCTGTCATTTGCCATATGACCTTGGATAAGTTGCTTCCCCTACTTGGGCCTCAGTTTCCTCATCTATAAAATAAGAAGCCTGGTCTAGGACCATAAGATCATGCAGATTTAGAGCTAGAAGGACCTCGGGCCATCTAGCCCAATGCCCTCATTTTACAGATGAGGAAACTGAGGCCCAGATAGGGGAAGGGACTTGCCTCAGGTCAATCCAGGTGCAAGTGGCAAAATTGTGAAGATCTTTTACAGTTCTAATTCATATGAACCCATGTGTTTCCTAAACCTTCCCGTCTCCTGGGTAAACATCCCCAGTTCTTCCAAGCTAAGGGATCGTTCTGGTCTGAGTTTATCAACATCCTTTAAAAAGTTTTGGCAATGGGAAGAGATGCAGAGAAATACAATGGGTTGGATTGGGTGAGGGTGGTCCTCCAGACCCTCTTGGTGTTCAAAAGCAGCAGACTGGGAGTGAAGGGCCTGGATTATAGTACTAGCTCAGTCACTATCTTACTGTGACTGAACCTTGGTTTCCTCTTCTTCAAAGTAAGGATAATACAACTTGCACTGTCTCATTTACTGGGCTGTGATTTAGAGAAAATGAAGTAATACCCCTAAAAACACTTGGGGAAGAATTAAAAGTCGTGAATTAACCCAAGGTAGGGCCATTATCCATTGTAATAATGACAATAAAGGACTCAATAAAACTAATTGGGGGTCACCAATGTTAGTCGTTTCCATTCCTACCACAGACTAGATGGATTTTTATCCATAAACCATTCGAAGTCAGAAGGCCTGGATTCAAACCCCAGCTCTGCCACTTCCTAGCTGTGTGACCTTGGGCAAGGGCCTCCCCCGCTTTGGGCCACAGCCTCACCATCTGGTCCTGGTCCTGATTTACAACTCACTGGACATGGGATTCAGGAGGCATCTTCATCGAAAAGGTCATCGAACTCATGTCCTAGTCTCTTTAAATGAGACACAACAAAAGTTGGCTAGGAAGCTGATTCATATGTCCATGTGCCTTTGTACCAGCTCCATAGCTTTCCATGGACAGACGGAGCTGGCAGAAATGATGCTACATGGTAATAAGCCAAGCAGTAAAACTTGGCATTGAGTAGAGGGTTGCAAAGTAATAATGTGGTCTCTGGGCCTCCAAGCAAACAATGTCAAATCCTCTACAAGTGAACAAATGTATTAGGTTTATTGTCAGTGGGGCCAACAGAGTTTTATTTTCTGTGAGTCAAGGAAGCCTACCTCTTACCCAGTGGAAGAATGAGTCATCATTGACAGACTCTTATCCAAGCCCTGCTTAAACAGCTCCAGCCATGGGGAAGTCCCTCCCTCCTGAAGCTGCCCATTCCTTTGTTAGACAGTGCATTGCTAGAAAACTCTTCCTCATACTGACCTCAAATCTGTCCGTCTATGACTTCTACCCATGGTCCCTAGTTCTGTCCTTTGGCTCCTAATCTATGTAACTATTTGAAGACAGTGATGGTGTCCTTCTCTATTTCAAGCTAAACAAACATCTATAGTGCCTTCCACTGTCGCATGTATGCAATGGTTTTGAAGCCCCTCACCATCTCAGTTGCCTTTTACTCTAGCTTTTCAAGATCTTTCCAAATATGTGGTGTCCAGAACGGACCAGAGTCATTCAGATGGGGTTTGACCAGGGTAGATAGCGCGAGGCAAAGACTGTGTGAGCTTTTCAAGCTGTCACATCAAGCTGTTGACTCATCCTAGTACAGTGTGGTGAAGTCTTAGAATAGTCAGAATGTACACCTGGAGTCAAGAAGACCTGAGCTAAAATCTGGCCTTACATACTTACCAGCTGTGTGACCCTGAGCAAGTTACTTGAATTGTCTGCCTCAGTTTCCTCATCTGTACAATGGGGATAATAAATGCTCCCTACTTCTCAGGGTTGTGAGGATCAAATAAGATAACATTTGTGGAGTGATTTGCAAACTTTAAAGTATTATAAAATACTAGTTGTTATCATCATTAATAATAATAATAACAAAAGTTCAGTTGGTTTTTCACATAAACTGCACTCTAGCCATACCAGTCCAACACTATGCTTGTGCAGTTATTTTTTGGACCCACATGTAGGACTTTACATTAATCCCTATCACTGTTTACCTCTTTAGATTTGGCCCATTATTCTAGAACAATTTGGATGCTGGTTCTGTAGTTCACTAAGTTAGCTTTCTTTCCCAACTTTACCCATACTGGCATAATTTGGTAAGAGTTCTATCTATGCCTTCATTAGTGATAAAAATATCCCACAGCACAGAGCTACTGGTGGTGGGCCCAGCCCTCCACTAACAAGCTTCTTCCAGGTTGATATGGACACATTAAGCACCACCCTTTGAATAGGGGAATTTAATAAGCTATGAATCCGAAACTATGTTATCAGTTAGAATATTTCCAATGGACCGAGTTCTTTAAACCCCATTATAGGGAGGAACAGAAGGCAATAAAGTAATAGTTCACCTTTCACTCTTACTAACTTTAGAGCTGAAGACTTGGGTTGAAATCTTGACTGCAA